CATCTCACCTTTCCTTTCAATGGAGAACGGGCTCTACGACTACCATTCCATTTCCATTCACCCACCAGTTACTGGGGTGTGGTAGGTGTGGGAGAGAGGGAAGGGGACAGAGGATGGGATGTTTTATTTGCAGCTTACGCTCTGTTTGTTCTCTGATTAAGTGCTTAGTTGGCTACGGCAACATAACTTGTTGTTAATCATAAAATAATGGAATTACAATACAAAAAATAAACATTATTGTCGCCCTTGTGCTTTCTTGTTCATAATTAGAGGCATAACATATGAAATGATTTTTGGATATCTATAAATTACTGTGCATTTCTTTTCGTATTAGTTACAAATGCTGGATGAGACCAGCGTGCATATTATCGTGCTGCACACATAAATTCACTTCTTTCACATATTCTCACCTGGACAGAGACTAGACAAGAAAAACAAATATATTTTTGGGGTTGTGAGAAAATATTTAGATACATACTTCCATCCTTTCCTATTTCTACCTGCACAACCTCCAGCACTTCCACGGGCTTGGCTGTGTGTGTCAAAGAGAAACTCCTCTTGCAAGCCATGTCAGATGGATACATCGAAAGACTTGGCTTGTTTCCTGGATAGCATCCTAATTACGTTTTAATTAAAGAAACCACTTTGAGGTGATGCTTGTGCATCTTCACCTCTACCTTATTGTGACTGCTGTTCATTGGGGTGATTTCTGAGGTCTCTTCTGTGTATTGACTTTACTTTCACTAAAGCAAATTGAAGGATTCACACACACACACACACACACACACACACACACACACACACATAGACACTGGTTGAAAGAAGGCCAAGATGTACTTTCTTGTACAGCCTAAAACATACTGTGGACTCCAGTCTTACACATTCATATGCAGTTCCCCTTCAATCATTTCCATCCATACGGAGGGAATATAAATAGATGCGGTATAAAATGTGTAGTAGGAGGCACATAGTGAGAGATAAAAAACATAAAGAGAGGGCTTAGGGAAAAGGAGAGTGGACTTTTAAAACGATTTGAAATGTGCCATTGCTTCTCGGTCCAACTCAAAGTCTTATTCAATTCCCCTCGAGTAACACAATCATTTGTTCACCAGGGCAGAAAACTACCTAAATTGCATTTTCATTCGGGTGTTCTTCCTGCTTTTTTTTGCTCTATTTGATCCATCCTCCCCCCCCCCCCCGAGAGAGAGGGGGGGGGGTGATGAAGTGATGAAGATTGATGCTCAAGTCCTAATTAGCATCTGCTTTGGTATGCACACTGCCAGTCCTTCCATTCCTGACCATCCAATCAGTTAACAGACATAGCAGGCCTTGTCCAATCAGATTAAGGCCATCGGGATAGGCTTCCCGTGTGGAGCTGTCACTCCAGGTGCATTGTGGTCCCTGCTGGTGAATGTGATTAGGGTTAGGAGACACAAATTGTGCCCCCCCTGTGTTTTTTGATCATGCGCTGTATATGTCACAGCTACGAACAAATAAATCCAGCAGCACAGTTACAAATGTTTTGACTTTGCAAAGGTTGTTACTGAGTACAGTTTGAATATTATTACCATTTAATGTGGAATCTTATTGATGGTTTTGATTCTATGGAAACCAAAGCAAGCCTTCAGTCCTACACCAAGCAGATGTCAGTAATCACACCAATGTACTTTTTACATGTCGTAAAAATATTAAAGGATGGTATTATCACCGAAGTCACAGAGGTGCCCATTTGGTTGTTCTGTGTGTGTGTGTGTGTGTGTGTGTGTGTGTGTGTGTGTGTGTGTGTGTGTATTTAACACATTCTCAAATAGAAAAGTCATCCATCCACTCTTTGCCATTTCACTCATTATTACCGAGTAACCGGGATACAGGGAAAGAAAAATGACAATGACTGATGCAACAGAGGGAAGATGTAATGCCTCGAGCTCTGCCTCAAGCTTCATATTTTCCCTCCAGGGGAATTCAAATTATTATCACCAAATATCTACCATTCCACGTGATTGTTTGTTCATCCAATTAGTGTTTTCCTCCCCTAGTGAATTAGCTTTGCACGTGTGCATGTGTGCATACATGTACCAGTGGTCATGTTGGGACTTCAGATAGAGACCTATCTGTCCCATGAGTCCTGAAAAGAGAGAAATATGAAGAGAAGTTTTTTTGAAAACAAAGAAATCCTTTGATAGTCCTCACATGTTCACGTATTGCTCTCTGCTGTCACATTTTGCTTTCCCTCCTGTTCCTTTGTGCGTGCGTGTGTGGCTGTGTGTGTTTGCCTGCATCAAAGCCTTCGCCATCACGCCGCAATCTTTTCCTGTGTCCCAGTTACATCACTCTTCCTCTGCCTCCACAAACCCCCTTTGCCACCTGCCTTTATTCTCAGTACGTCACAGCGTTCTCAGACAAAGTCTTTCGCTGCATCACGCCTACGCCTGCCTCGAGTGACAGCAGGGTAGCGACAGCGCCACCTGAATTATCCTCGTGCCGTGCCGCACCGAGAACGCTTAGGCGGGTCAACAAATTCCTCCGCGTGGCATTTATTACCACACGAGGGACGAAATAATGAAGTGTTCATAGAGATTATGGCGCACGGGGCGGCTGCATGTCGTGTGGCGGATACCTGAGAAGTTGGTTGAGTATATATTTTTCGGCAGCGCCTCTTTGATCAATTGTCCCTTGTGCGGAATGTGTCCCTCTATTTTTTGTGTCCCGCTCTCATTAGCACCTGTGTTGACACGACTAGCGTCTCTTCTGAGGGATGTGTTCCTCTTTCTTTATCTTTTTATTCATATTTTTTCATCTTCTCCCAGCTTTTGAAACGCTCTCCTTTTATACGTCATCTCCTCGTCCTCGTTCTCTTTCTCCCTCTGTGTTTCACTCCGTCTCTCTCGCTTTCCCCCGTGCTCTTTGCCTCTCACGCCGTCTCCCTCCCTACCAGGCGTTTTTTAATTAATGGCGAGCCGCGATGCTTATCTTATCAGCAGATCGCTCTGCTTTCTATTAACTACAGTGACAGAGCTGGGAGGCCGCAGAGGATGGGTGACACACACACACACACACACACAGTCAAATCAGATACATATGTACACTGAAGAGCAGACAAGGATGAATATGGACACACTTGTGCACATGCACACACACACACACACACACACACACGCTAACGGACACAAACTCACACAGAGGCAAATGGCAATTGTGTCCACATAAACACACATCTCGATCCTATCTCGCTCCTACCACACACACACACACACACACATAAACGAACACACTGTCCTGATGGTATCTGGCTGTGTGATTTAAAGGGTGTTGTTTGAGGGTCTTTCCTCCTAAATCCCCTAAAAGCCTTGGGAATCCCTCCTCCTCCCTCCCTCCCCCTATCTCTCCTCTACCTCCCTCCTTCAGTCCTGCTTTCTGGCTGAATGAGCACTCATCATTTGGCAGATAAAGAGCTGTCCACGCTGGAGCTTGCTTTATCTTTAAGGGCCACGTTTACTCCCTGTGAACAGTCTGCTTCTCACAGATGTTTCACGCGGCACGTTAGCTTCATCTGCCTGAGATGAGAGTGCAGCGTGGAGGCTTCATTTCCTGCTGCGAAAAACCTCAAGCGCACTCGCAGTCCTTCAGCCCGTCAATGAGAGATCCACAATTGTCCGCCACTTGTCACATTTTCATGGTTATTGAGGCCGAGCTAGGAGGGAGAATAAATCCTACTCCATCTCCATGGGTGATTACATCGAGTCGCATTTTGCCACAGAACAGCGAGCTCGGGCGGCAGAAACAACAAAATCGATCCTCAGGCACCAAAAAATCGATGGGAGCGGCAACATTTCAACACGGGTTTTCTCCGGATCATATTGGGAGTTGGGTTTTTTATTAAGCATTGAGATAAAGAGAGAGAGAGAGAAGGGGAAAGAGAGCGAGGAAGAGACAGAAAACCGCCCACAGAGTGGTTATTGGAGCAAACGTTACAGAAGATTGTGGACACGCGTGTGCACACGGTCACTCACACTTTCTGTGCCGAGTCATAATTTTCTCATTTGGGGGAACCGTGGCAAAACAATTATCAGCAGGGTACAATACAATAAAGTAGACCATTTCCCAGGTATTACCAAGGGACAAAACATTTATTTCACTTTGTCACTTTGTCCAGTGTGCTGTAAAGTCCTACTGGCAGAAAGCATAGAACATAACTCACAGCACTCACGCTGCAGACAGCATGCAGGCGGAAGTAATGCTGCGCTGTGAAATTCTTCAAAACTTTGTATTGTTTTCTCAAGTTTACTCAAAAAACATTTCGGGAAATTGTGTGTTCTCATGTGCGGTTGCGCTGAGATTCTCTTACTATTTATACACTTGCTTGCAGTGTGTTTCGATACAAGCAGCGGCCATTCAGATGGCTTTCAGTTTGCCCTTCGACATGGTCACCCGAAAGCATATTCGCAACATTCCACTGTCGTAAAATCGCATACTTACTATACGTTGAATCACCCGGCCAAAGAGTATAGAGACATCAGAGGAATCACTGTTTTTCACCCAAAACTCACTCGCACTGTTAGTACATTTGAGCCTGCTTGTAAAAGATGCAGACATCATCTCCACTTGCTCTTCCTCTTCTGCCTGTGAACGGTGGAAATGACAATGTTTTGCCAAATTGGGCATCCAGTGTATGATTTGTTTGATTTGCATCCCTTTGTATGCTTATCTTGTAAAGCCCTCTGCCATAACACAAGAGCTCTTTTGTGATAACGGAAGTTGATTTTTTTTCCAATTCAATCTGTCTCTCTTTCTCCTGGCTTTTTTATCTGTAAGTCTGTCTCTCTGTGCGTACACTGTGTAACCAGTGAGAGTGGGAATATGTGTATCTCTGGGCATGTTGGGGGGGGATAAAGGAGTCTGTGATTTTAATGGACTACTTTCGGGTCACTCCCGTGTTGTGGCGAGATGCTCTGTTGAAGTGCTGCAAGAATTAAAGTGTCTCTTTCTGTCCGTCTCTGCAGGGAGTTTGGGTGGAGAGATCCTGAGCTGCCAGAGGTGATCCAGATGTTACAGCACCAGTTCCCATCGGTGCAGTCCAATGCCGCAGCCTACCTACAGCATCTCTGCTTCGGAGACAACAAGATCAAAGCCGAGGTTTGTATCAGTGTGTGTTTGTGGTATTTGGGAATGGTTGTAACGTGGATGATAAAAGCAAAACAAACTCAATCCCTTCTTCTGAGTCGTAACAGCTCAGGCTGCTTCAGAGAAACACTGTTTTAACCAACCCGTTTCACACTGATAGTCCACAATGATCAAGCTGGGCCTTTTATTGAGTAGTATCTATAGACCCAAAGTATCAAGTTTGTCTCTCAAAGGCTATTTAATTCGTCCCTTTTGAAATCTCAGACACCTTGAAGGAGGCTGTCGTCCTCTAAAACGCCGGCAGTGAGATGCTGCTACACTCAAAGTCAAATTCTACAGATACAAAATCTATTTTTCTTTTTGTCTCTCTTCAAATGCCACGCAACCCACACCTCACCCATTACCTTCATAATCAATTTGCCAGTACATGAAGACGAGGGAACTAACCTTTCGTTTTCTTCACTCAAGATAATTTCAGAACAGTCAATAGCTGCTTTTGCAATGTCAGTGTGATCCCACGTTGCTAAATGGCTCTTTGATTCCCAAATGCATGGGAACAAACATCAGCACGATGTGCACGCATGTGGTATGCGAACACACTCTTTAAAGCTCTAAATGCATCCTGGAAAAAGAAAAAAGAATAATGAATATAAAATGAAAATGATGCAATTAAACACAAAGACACTGCTAAATCCACTCTCATCAATCCACCCTTGCAAACAAACATACACACTTATGTATATGTACAGAAACGAGATCACAGCTACTGTGTAAAACAATCCCGGTCCGCTACCACCCCCTCATCCACGCCGTTGTGAAGAAAGCTAAGTGTACATGTCTTTTGTAATAGAGATAATTGTTGCCTTAATGGAGGTATCCACAAATGGAGAAAATGGCAACTGTTTGTTGACATTTGGGATGTCTTCATCAGTCTGCTTGTTTGTCTTGTTCATGCCCCAAGGCGTTGCTACACACTATTTACACAAGTTAAATTGGCCCGAGATATCAACGAGCCAAAATTGATGCCTCGCGTATCAACAAATAAAAGCAGGCTTTAACACAGATACATCTACATGCACGCATCGTAACGTGTGATTACAATGACAAAATGCATCATCGTGCAAAGTCTTCTGCAGTGAGACACACACAAAAATGTTTTCTCAGCCATGTTTCTCAATTGTTTTTAAATAAAAATAGAGTGAGACGATCACCAAGCCAGATACGGGGTATTAGTCTTGTTAAAGACACTATTGTTGGAATGAAAGATTTTGCTTGGAAGCTTTAATAGGGTGATGACAGTAATGAGTTTGTTTTGTTCATGATGAATACGGATTTATTTATTTATTTTGAAACCCTATTACCCTGGGAACAAATCGATGAATCCTTTGCTGTTACCAACAGTGTTTGCATTTGATTTTTCTCTATTACAATAGTGCATCCCTCCATTGAGTTACAATTTGACATTATTCTTGTCGTTTGAGAGTGAAAACCATTGTGTGCATCTTCCGCCTTATTTTTTGCATCTAAATTGTATTACATTTGTTCACATAAAGAGGCCGTGTCAGAGGATTTTGTATGTACTGCAGAGGCATCACGTCGATGGTGGAGCACATCTTGGAACTTGGCTCTCATTGGCGTCTTCTTTTTCTCAAAACTTCTTCTTGCAGTATTTTCTCAATTTCAACAAAATGAGATTCCAAAGAAAGTTGCAGAGCAAAATTAAGATGTAATGGTCTGCATAAGAGTGTGTGAATGCTATTAATGTTCACTCAACGTGTGAATCTCGTGGTGGATCTTGAAGGTCCAGGAAGGGCTTGTTCATCAGTTTAATAAGTTTCAAGGTCGAAGAGTAAATGTCTTTGTTTTGTTACCATAGCTTGAAAAAAAAACATTTGCAGGGACATTAACTTAGGAGAATGCAATCTAATAAACATCTTTCGACAAGCAGGCAATGAATGATCTGTTATTCATTCTGAGAGGCAGACGTATCTCTATTTTAGTAATACTTTCTTTTCTTCATGCACCCGTGAACTTTTCTGACACTGTGAGCAAGGATTGATTGTGGTTTGAAAGGAAAGGATTTTTTTTTTTGAAAAACCACATAAATACACTCTTCATCATAGCCTTACAATAAACAATTTAAAAAAAATTTAAAAATAGTCATTGAACACTTTCTCCCAGGATAATAACCTTACCCAAGTGTAAGACAATGACATTTTTTAAGAATTACTTTATTCTTCTCTTATTTTAAAATTGCTCCAAATTCATTTTAAACATGCATTAAATGACGAGAATGATGACCAGCAGTCATGTTATTTGAATTCCGTAAAACGTTTCCTGATAAGCATGCTGTTTACATGGACCGCACAGGAGAGGACAAGATATAAGTAGTTTGTTAAATGGAAATATTTAAAAGGTTGTTCACTTGGTGGGGAAACACTGGAGTTCCATAATGATTTTGTCAGAAGGCTGTTTAACATTGATGTCCACAGGCTGCGATGGGAAAGTGTACAGTTAAAAAACGTTATTCTCTTGTTATTATGGCAATGTAAGACAAACTGATGGACTACTTTGCGCTGCAGAGGAGACTATTGATTTTTCTAAGGCCATTACAATAAATCTTATCCAAAGTACCTACATTCTTTGTTGTGATATAAAATAATAAATTGAGCACAGTGTTGACAGATGACACATTTTCTGTGTCAAATGTACAGTAAAAGGGGCGTCACGCAGTCTTCTCACGGCGCTCGCCTTATAAAAGTAGAGTTGTATGTGCTTCAAAAATAACCTTCGCAGCAGTAGTTGAATATGCACGTCCATGACAGCTCTACTGCCCAGGGAGTCATATCACAGCAGATGTCACAGAAGATTAAAAATAATAAAAGCATTTAGATTCTCTTGTTGACGCAGTTGACATTTCCTGAAAGGGTGGGGGGGGGGGGGGCGTTTTTCCTTCAGGGGGTCACATGTGCAGCGCTCAGGTAGGTACCCGCCTAACACCAATGCAACACACCATGTAATATAATAACCACAAAAAGTGTCAATCAATCAATGGTCAATTTGTGCGGCAGAGTGTGAGAAGATCCACCGAACACACAGCGTAGTGTGTGAGGCCATCTCACTTCCACTAACATGCAATACAGACGTGGATTGTAGCTATTTGTGTGAGCGAGAGTAAGAGAAGACTAAAGACTGATCTCTCAGTTAGCCAGATAAACACAGATGGCAGGGGACACGCTGAGCAGCCAGACACAGCGACATGACTGCTATTCGTCGAAAAATATGACTTACTGTTATCGGGATGGGAACAAGAACGCACCCTGTGGTTTTTCTGTCTCTTGGCATTTCAAGTCGCTGTGTGAGATTACTCGCTGTCTGTCGGTTCGCCTGAGGTCACGCGTTCATGTTGAGTGCCGTCACCTCCGCTGTGCTGGTCGCCAATCACATGTACCTGGAGAGGAAGATTACAGTTGACCGTGGAGGCAGTTGGGCGTATTCATTTTAAACATCCTCCCTCCCTCTTCCACACAACACACACAAACACCTGGATGCTCACTTGCAAACTGCCACCTTTTCTTCAAACGCACACAGTGTCACGGTGTGGTTTTATTTCCTGTCTTATTTTGTAGTTTTCTGCTTCTTGTCTCCCTGGGTAACTTCACTTCCTGCCTTGTCCTGTCATCGTGTGACTGTCTGATTGTTTCCACCTGTCTCTAATCACCTGCACCTCCCCAGTGTATTTAAGTGGTGTGTGTCTCCTGTCACTGGTCGCGTCATTGTTTGTCGTCCTGGATGGTCCTTGTCCCTGTCTTTTGTCCTGAATGTTCCTCGTTCCTGCCAGCCTTTTCCCCCCCGGTACGTGTATGTGTTTTTGCCCGTTGGCCTTTTGCGTTTTTGCATTTTGACTATTAAAGTCCTTTTTGTTTCCCGCAAACTCTGCGTTTGAGTCCTGCCTTTTTCCCCACGCAACATCCCTGACACACAGTACGAACATATTGACATGTCAGCTCATGCCTCCATCCCCTCTAACTGCGCCTTCGCAGAAGAAGCAAACAAACAAAAACACACACACACACACACAGTCAGACTAAAGTTCAGTCACATCAGTAATTCATTTTGTGTAGCAGCCATGTCGATATCCATTTATCCAACAGAGCGGTTGGGGGGAGAGGAACGTGCCTCCTGACTCTGTGTCACCCCCCCTCCCTCTTACACAGATGCTTTTTGTTTAGTTCACACCTCCCATATTACTGTGTGACTGGGGTGGCTTACAACACGATACTACAGGGTTCTTACTAAGGACTGAATAAGAACTGTCGTCTCTTCACCGTGTTTTACAGTTTGTTGTTGGAGACGAACAATGAGTTCAAGTCAACATGGTGAACTAAAGTGGGTTTTAGATCGTTCAGGGCGTAAACTGTGAAAACGGGAAACTTGGAGTGTCGGTTCAACAGAGATCAGCATAGCAAGGATGTGAAAGACACCGTGAATGATCTATGACAAATACTGAAATGATATTGCATGGTACCGTGCCTCTTTACGCATTCTGTATACGCAATTTTACACTCTGATTATTGTGTATGGGTGTAGAAGCACGGTTTATTTTAAATCCCAGTGTAAATTCCCACCACTGGCAACAATTTAATTTAATTTAATTCAAAATACCTTTTATATTTCTGGAAGAGAAAAGCCTCTTTCCTGATTTCTTGTAACTTAACAAAACACAAGGCCCTGTTTTTCTCCTCAGTTCATTGCTTTGGTGCAGAAAATACCCTCTGAAATGTGTGTACATCTTAATTAATGTTCATGTGCGAGTATGAAAGCACCGTGGACCACCCACCCACCAAAGCACCTGCATGTATACTCACACAGTGAGGTTATTAAACACTCTCCACTGCTGCCAAGAGCAGTGTTTATGTTTGCCATCATTTTCAAACAACAGAGGAGTGGCTCTAGTGTACTTGTCAAGGTAAGTTTTCACAGTTGGGGATCTTATTGTTGATACTCGTTCAAAATGAGCTGTTTCTTTGCTTCAGAAACAATATTAGCAATAGGTTAATGGCCTGTTTGGCCCAGTTTAGAAGGCTCCAGAGGGAAATATTAGCCCGGAACTTAATTAGCCGAAGGTTGAAAGGCTCAAAAATTAATTTATCCCGCGGCTCAGTGTCAGCTAAAAACAAAAGCCCGTGCATGTGTGTATGCCGTATGCGTGAGGTTGAAAGGTGTGACGCGTCCTCGCGCACAACTGTGCTGCTAATTGTGGTTGATGTTTTGTCGTGTGATGACTGGAACACACGCCTTAGACTCCTCCTGCCACCAATCCAGGTGTGAGTCTCCCACTTTGTCCCGCTCAAGGCTTTTGCAGCGCCAGCACCGCTGATTCCCACAAATCTCAGTTGTCACCCCTGCTAACTGTTACCACGGCAATGCTGTCGCCATGGGTTACCGAAAGCCGCAGCCGCCGCGAAGAACAGCAGGAGACAAAAAAACAACCCATCGCCGCTTCTAATCTCCTTTACGTGGAATGGAGGGGCGTGCACAGAGTTATTGTCGAGGCTTGTACCAGGCGATACGGAGTACTAGCGCCGTGGCTTTTATGGAATAACAGATAAACTAGATCAAGAATTAAGAGGAGAGGAGCAAGTGAAGCAGGGGAGGGTGAGAGGTGCAGAGGGGCCGAGGTGAGGACTGGTGGGCATAAAATGAGGCAACAAATCTGGTTGAGGAAATTGTGGCCAGTGGTGCAAGGTTAGTTTGCCATTCATTGCATCCCTTAATCCATTTTAATTGAATAGATAAGCAAAGTCATTTTCCTCGATAAACTCCTGCTGTGTCATCACAAGCCTCCACCCACTCCTGCCTTCCGTGACTTTCTCTCCCCCCTTTCACAGTAATCCTCTCCGCCCAACTTGCCAACATTTATCAATCTTTTTTTTTCTAAATAAATCAAAGTTATTTTGCACTTGTAAACACTCATATGCGTATTTTGTGTTTTCCTTTTCTCTCGGACTATTGCTTGAGGTTTCTACAGGAGATAAAACAATGAGCTGCAGGCACAATCACAGGAAAGTCTATCCACTGCATCCCTGTCGACATGTCTGAATGGTACATTCCAAACATTTGTCTCGTGAAGAGTGCGCAGAAAAAAAAGAGGTTTTCAGGAAGCCCGATTATGCAGTCAACTGTGAAAAACAGTTTTTTTCCAGTTATCTGGATGAGTAACTGGGCCCTTTGCTTTATTCCGGAGGTTCAATAAAAGTGACGCCATGAGAGACCGTCTCTATCTCTCAAACTAAAACACACACACACACACACACACACTAGTTGCTCTGTCCATGTTCGTATTAGTCTCCTGGTGATCACAGCAGCCTGCTTCTGGTGATTAGTGCACACCCCTGTCGATTGGACCAAACGCGACTTGCTGTAAGCTCTCTGGCCCCCTGAGGCCGAAGAAGATCCCTGCAGCGGAGAAGCAATGTGGGAGGGTTTAAAACCATGGCGGGAAGGCATAATGGGTAACACCATGGGGGGAAGACACAATGTGTAACACCCGAGTGCCCTCGATGTGATCTCCACTGGGCTAATGGCCCTGACGGTTTTGTATCACAGAATCAGGATACGATCATAAATCTGCACTGATTGGCTTCTTTGTTATTCTTTCTTTGTGTGTTTTTTCGCCTATGTGTGGATTTACTGAGCAAAAAGACTACAGAATATAGAGAAAAGGGGGTTAGATGAGCAGTTTGGAGAGTGAGAATTTTGCTTGTATAAAATCCATGAATATATTTTATATGGCCAGTTGATTCTACTATTGAGGGCTTTTGGGGAGTCACACAAGACATGTTGTTGGTACGACTGATTACTTGGTTAAAACAGTATTCTGTAGTTTTTCCTCGTTACATTAATTGAGAGCTTATTAATCACACTGAATTTGCATTTTAATCACTAAATAAATGAGATGCAAATGTCTGGAAGGAATACTACCAGTATTAATAGGAACATTTTACAAAGCTTTTTTAGGTTATAACTCTTTTAGTTAAATGCAGAGTCAGTGAGTGCAGCACTGTATATTATTTTTATTGTCACATCCAGAAATGTCCCACATGCTTTAGGTCTTTTGGTGCTTTAAAGAAACTCCTGGTTTTTAATTCAGCCCATCACGTCCATTTTACGCTCCTTGTAAGCAGTAATCTGAACACAAACAGAGGACAAGCAAAAATGATATAATGCTACGTTTTGTTAAATTATAAGCAAAGGAGGTTTCACTGCCCCTTTCCTTCCCTCACCAGTGTGATTAAGTGTGATTTTGTGAAAGCGCAGTCATTAGCTGTGTTGTATTATCTGTAATTAGTACACACTGGGTTGTTCATCTTATTGGCAGAACCAACAGATACTATAGGACACACAACAAATACTGCACACACATAAGTAGTTACTTGCATACAAAATGTTCATTTTATTGGACATATTTCTGGTGGCAGACTGTTTAACATGTCGGTAAATTATGTTTTTCTTGCATCTTTCAATGCTACGGCTTCTTTGATCCTCAGATCCGCAGACAGGGAGGCATCCAGCTGCTGGTCGACCTACTGGACCACAGGATGAGTGAGGTTCACCGTAGCGCCTGCGGAGCCCTGAGGAACCTGGTGTACGGCAAGGCCAACGATGAGAACAAAGTTGCCCTGAAGAACTGCGGCGGGATTCCTGCTTTGGTCCGCCTGTTGAGGAAAACTGCAGATGTGGAGATCAGAGAGCTGGTCACAGGTACCGTGGCCGTGGCTAAACGTGCACCTCATCTCCCTCGCACGTATACATATCTTACGGGTTAAGCTGCGTTTATTCTCCAGCAAGACTCTGCTGCTTTGGCCCGCGGAGAGGTTTTAATAGTGTGTGGATGTGTGTGTGTGTGGATGTTGAGGTGTGGAGATGCAAGGATCAGTGGAGCTGCTACATGTTACTTTTCACAATGCAGAAACCAAGGCTGTTCAAATTTAGCTCCTTCAGAGGATTAACAATTTAACATTTAACCTGATTGATGTTTTATATTCAATCACAGTTCTCAAAGGATTAAAGGACTCAAAGGCATAACATCTGGAAGGAATGCAGTGGAAGCATCAAGCGAGCCATAGTTTCTTTTCAACACGATTTCTCTTGAGATATGTTTTGTTCTGTGTCCTCTCCTTCCATCTGTTTGAGTTGTTATTCAAAGGCAATTTGGCTCTGTTTTTTTTTCTGTTTTTTTGCGTGGGTGCCTGCAAATAATCACATAATATGTGTGTGTGTGTGTAGCATTTACGTCCCTCCGAGCAAGTGTGGTGGTTTGCGATCGCTGGTCAGTGTTGACTTAACCTGGAGGGCGAGAGCGAAACAAGTTAGCCGCTACACTGGAGACACACACACACACACAGGCTGAACGCCTACGCACACAAACTAAGATTAGCACAGGCATATGCACACACTCGTTCAACTACACTCACATGTGCAGCACTTATTGCAGAAAGGTACGCAAATATCTGTTGAGGCAAAAAAATGCATGTATTAAATTTCAACACCCACCTGAGCAAACCGACATTACACAAGCTTCTATAATTTGGCCTTTTGCTACATGCCTCACACTAAGAACTAATAAAGGCCCTTTAGTGCTGCAGAAAACACAAACGCAAGCATTGTTTCCATCTCTGCTTGACGCAATCTCGCAGATGCTCACACACATACACCACCTCCAGCGTATGTGTGATCCAAATGTGCAGCTACAGTTATTTCCCAGCATGACATTGGTTCTACAGCCTCAGGACAGGTGATAATGATGACGGGTTTAGCATGTGTGTGGGTGGCAATCTTGTTTGGGCATATGGGTCACAGGATTTGGTCTTAAGGGTTAAAACCTGTGTCACCTGTGGGATTCAGCAAGTAACAACGAGTGTCTCACTAGGATTCATACGAGTTTGCTTTGTGTTAAATGAAGTGGGTGAGCGGGGACTTCTGTTCCAGTGAGCAGTTGTGTTAAACTTATGTTGCTCCAATGAATGAACCGGGCGATGCTCGTCTTTCTCCTTCTCGCCCCCTTTGTTATCTAATTTGTTGGTGGTCCCTGCGCGCGGCAAAAAAAAGCTATTGGTGACGCTTTGGAAATCTGTGCGCATGTAATTGGGAGATAAGCCGGTGATTTTTCAAAATAAAATAATGTTCTTTCTCCGCGGCCTGGTACCAAGTGGTGGTTTGGGGACCACTGATCTATTTCATCCTCTTCTCCATCTCTCCACTTCTGAAGCCATGGGATAAAAATGCAATGTAAGTCGCTTTGGATAAAAGCCTGTAATGTAAAGTAATGATGTTTTTGTCTCGTTCCCCCTCCGCTTCAAATATCCCTCTTTTATCCCTGTGCACGCTGGCCCTCTATGGGGTTCAGTGTCGTGCATCACATGGGGCCGCGGCGGCATGTATCTGCACTTGTGGCACTATTGTTTCTCAGACAAAAGCCCACTTCGTTGCGCCAGGTCAGTCCGAGAGATAAGAGAGCGTGTGCTTGAGGATTGGACATTCCTGATGGCAAAGTACAGAATCCAACAGACACACAGACACACTATAGCACACAGATAATACTGAGTTGAGGTCGTTGGTGACCCCCCGCCCCTCTCCCCATGTTCAATTTGACTTCTGACCCCATTTCATCGCAGTGGGACGGAGCTCATCTTCACATATCCGTCCCTATAGATGCTTATGTCCTCACGGGTCTCTCTTGAGGAGGAAGGGGGCCCCGACGGATCACAACAGACAGACAGCAAGAGCCTTAAAAAGATAATGGCCCCCTGGGGAACAGTGGGGACAAACAAAACCTGGACATTTGCAAAGTAGCAGAAGAAGGATGGAGGTTGGTTATTATTCTATAATTATTCAATATTATTGACACCGCTGTAACAGGTTGGGGAGAGGCAGGAAAGAAGGACCAGTGCTTTTCATTAATAAAGCAGATGATGATTGGAAGAAAAGGGTACGGAGGAAAAGAGGGAAAAATTAGTTTGGAAATTAACAACAAATGGGATGGAAATGAAAGGGGAGGATGAAAAAGATGGGAGGGATAAACCGCCTTCCTATGTTTTTCTTCCCAATAAGAATAAAGAAAGCGTAAACCATGAGGACATTTACTTTGTATTCCAGATAAATGACTCAGTTACAGCAGTCAATAGACTTAATATACGGGGATGCTTGCATGTTAATTAATAAAGTGCACCGCGAGTCATTCTTCACCACATGTTGAGCTCTGACTTTCATGAATAGTTTTCCTGCACAAACACACACACAAACACACACACACACACACACACACTGGGAGTCTACTTTTCCGCTGCCTGTCGCTGAGTCTTTGCCTCCTCCGTCTTGCTGCTGGCTGAGAGAATCAGTGCCACGCAGGACCCTTTGCTGTTGTCTGTTTACTCGGGTACTCAGCGTTGCACTGCACATTTCATCTGCTTTCATGCCAGTACCGCTGCATTTTGAAGTCAATCTTCATTTGTTTCAATGAACACCTGCCTGGGCTCTAATTTACCACTGAAAACTGTTTGCATAGTGACTTTTAATTCAATCAGAGAGTGTGTTGAGATTCCCTTTTCTGACAACAATGTCGTTGAAAAAGTTGTAACAGAACGCAATCCTTTGTCCCATATCCAGTAAACTAGTACAGCTGTTTTTACTTTGTTAAAACAAAGACAAAAGCACCTACTCAACCCAACCAAGGTCACGGAAAAGAAAATGACATAAAATAAACACTCACAGAGCCAAAAATACAGCAGGAGGTAAAAGAAGACCACTATGCAGTGAGCTAATGGATTACATGCAAGAAGATAAGCTGCCATATTTTATGGAAATTAACAATATGAGCCTTTATTGCAAATTTCACAGATATCAGATCATCAAGCCAGCATGTCGTAGGGGGCGGACATGCCACAAGGTAGGAAAAGACAACAACATCAATTGTGTAAATGATGTGCACAGTGATACAATGCTTGTGTTCAGATTACTTGCTATTGTATTTAGAAAATGACTTTTAACTACACACGTTGAATAAGTCAAACTTAGTGTGTACAGGTTGAAACTGGAGGTAGCTCTGTAATCCAAAAGAGGGACAAATACAGAGTATTGCTTGATGGAAGTGGTTCCTTCTCCTAGTAAATCAGTGTCCAGTCTCGGTATGAGTTGGTCTGTCCACAATTATTTCTTAACAAAGCATAACTTTTGTGACAAAAAGAAGTCAAGAGATCTTTACTTGGGATCCTTGTAGTGACAGGAATGCGAGATGAAGTCCCCCTCTTCTCCTTTTACATCTATACTCCAAGTGCTGCTGGACTGAACCTCTGAATGCTTTGGACCGTCGTTGTGAGGAGCAGCTACTGGATAAGTCAGTGTGAACGCTCGGAAAGTCCTTTCTCAGACCATCGCTCGACATATCCTAGTAATCTTTCTTAAAAAAGAGTTACCAGAGACCGCATTAGCGGCTCTGCAGGGATACGTACCGAGACGGCGTTGGATTTATTGCCAAATTACTTTCCTCGCGGACTCGACCTTCATTACTAATTGGTGGCTAAATGATTTGAAAGCAAGCAAATGGCAGTCTGAGCGGTTCTTTAGGGGCAGTGCTGCATGGTCGAATGACATCAATGGACACAATCTTCCACTGCTGGACGCAAAAAGGAAGTTGTTGCACTACAGCCATAACAAATCAGCTTCCTCGTTACTGCCTCGGTGTTGTCAGCTTCGTCAAAGCACTTCTCTGTTCTCTGTGATTAAAGAATCTGTTTAGGTCTGAGGAAATGAGAAAAGGCCACACTTGGACGGCCGGAGAAACCTTCCCTCAACAGTTTACCCTATCTGCCTGTTGGTTCTGAAGTTTAAATATAGACAAGCTGTATTGGCTTCCCGGGTATAAGCGCGAGGTAGATAGGACGAAGTCAAGGCTTCCGGGCCTGTCAGTCAAAGTCTGGTCGATGCACGGGCTTTGGGTGTCAATAGGAGATGCTATCCTCACTCACGGGCTCACCTTGAAGCAGTGGACCACGGCAAAACTTTTGCTGCTGCAGCTGCTGCTCACTGCTCTGGGCGGAGAAGACAATTGCTGAGGAAAGTCTTGTGTTCAAAATGCCGCAGTTTGTGCGAACATCTTCAATGTATTACTGCTACAGACAGCTGTGTTTTGTTTAATTGTTTTTAAACTGGGGTGCTGATTAGATTTGGATGGATTAAGGTCAAAAGCGGCACATAAAAGCAACCCTAAGCAAAGGAAATGTACTCTGTGTGTAAACAGAAGTGACACACGCTGGTCACCTTTTGCCATCTGATGATGTGCAAAAATGGAAAAATAGAGAAATAGCGGTGCTGCTGCGATCCGTTAGCGGTCCCATAACCTTCTTTCAGAAATGCTTGAGGTCAGGTGCTCCATCACAGTCATCACGGGACGCTTGATGCCTGTTTTTCTGCTGCTGCTATGCTACAATTGTCTCTGCGGTACTTCCACTGTGGAGGCCCTGGTGGGATTGAAACCTCCTCCCCCCCCCGTGTAAGCAGTGACAATTTAACCAAAATACAGGGCCGGAGCTGACAGACCGACCGCAGGATGTTGAGTTGTGTGAACCTGAAGGTCAGGGCAGCAATTGTTAACATGCCGTCACCTAAACCATCACCCCAAATCAATATTTCGTTTTGGATTTTTCGCTCGCAGATTTCACTTTCAATGACATATTAGCATTGTAATTTTCAGTCTCTGGCTTTACTCATCACCAGGTTCTGACCCCCACGGCTAACTAATTCACATGGAGTCGCACAGATGAAGGCTGTTTAATAAAACATTGCCACTTGAGGCCTAACGGGCCTCACTCCTTCCTTTACAAGTCACACTGTCATTTATTCATGAATTCATGCAATCATCTCCTCCGTTGCCCCAAACCACACGGCTCCCTGAGAAGCTGTCCGTCAAGCGTCTGAAGGGAAATAGTGAGAGAGACACAGAGAGAGAGAGAGAGAGAGAGAGAGAGAGAGAGAGAAGGATGAGAGCACACACGCATGGACATAAACGCTCCAGTTGGATGACATCATTGTCTGATGCTCACCTGATGTCATGCTCCTCAGGACGCTGAGGGTTGGTGAAGCATTTCAGAGCTGTCTCCAGAGCTGGCGGTCGTGTGCCGTTGAATTTGTGTCAACCTCGGCTGTTGGCAGACAATGGCAGAAAAAATGTCCTCGGTCCTTCTGCTTGATTTTTGTCTTCAACGCTGTCTGTAAAAAAATTAAAAAAACTAACCCCACCCTCTCACGCCGCTAGTGTGTGTTGTGTGTGTGCATGTGTTTTAATTCATCAATGCGCATCGGTTGGAGAAGCCAAAGAAAGGTGTGCCTGTTTCTTTACAATCCCGCCGGCAGGTTCTTGTCCTCAGAGACGACACTGGTTTTACATGATTGCAATCACACACTGAGAGCACTCGCCACTTGAGAAAACGGGCCGACTCGAGAAGAAAAGAGATGTTTGGAAGTGTTTTAACAGAGTGCCACCGAGGGCACGCGTGTTTCTGGATGTTTGAGCTGTTACCTCGGTTTGAAAGGAGAGATTGAGAGGAAAACACAGAAAAGCTTGAGAAGAGAAACAAGAGCGTGATTAGTAAAGGTGAACACACACACACACACACACACACAAACACACACTCACACACATTCATAGCTTGAGTGTGAGCACTCGATTGCTGCCAAACATCATACAAGGTCATCGCCTCGTTATCACCCTCCTCTTCTTGTCCTCTCACACGCTCTCTGGAACAAACACACACTGACACACACATTTTCTCGCCCTCTTTCACGCCTTGTTTTCCACACACTCGTGCTCTTTGTCTCCTTGTTTTTTTATCCTTCATTTGAATATCGGATATTTATACATTTATTTGAGATGAACTCTTTAATTTGGAATTAACCCTTCTGCTGATAAACATTGTATCATCTTTTTATGTCCAGTCTGAAGGTGGCTATTATATTCTATATAATCATTTATTATTAATTCAGGGTCAATGCATGTTGATCAAGACTATTGTATACATTGCCAGATTAGCTTTCATCACGAGTCCCTGCCAAGTTGGCAGCCTGAAATCAAGAAGAACGTTTTAAAAATTAATTGTGAAGTAAGGCTTATCAGTATAGTCAAAGCAAACCAGACGGACAAATACAAATCGACAATATAATAAGAAGCAGTAAAAGCAAAGCCAGTTATGGTTCACCAAAGCATACACACACAATTACAGAAACAGCTCTGCAACAACAAGCCTGAGTAAAGACCGATATGAGCAGCAGGACGGCAGTAAGCATCTTTGTTTCCTTCCTTCCTCTAAAGCTCCCTTTCGATATGATTCCCTCTTCCTCACGTTTTGTCTTTCCTAGGCCTGATTTTCTTTTCATTTTCAGGTTTTCATTATAACTGCACTAAACCGTCAGACATCAAGTCTGGCCGTTGCTGTTGGCGACGCACAACTGGCTGCTCGTCAACACCCGTCGCCTCCGAGGCAGGTTGCGTACAGTAATCCAGGGAATTGAGATGTTTGCTCCATATCTCTCCCCCCCATATTTTTACTACACCTTCTACTTTACTTCCTCAGTTGTTGTTTTTTACGCATTATCACTATCCCAATATCTTTTGTGAATGAAACCTCGAGACGGGGCAGACAGCGGTTGTAAGTTATGCACTTTTTCAGCGGCAGCGATGCATCCTCTGCCAACGCTCGCTTCCTTCAGGTGACACGCCGTGTCTTTCTGCTGTCTCACAACAGCGCGCCTCCCAGCCCCCTTTTAGCATTTCATTTACATTCACATCTAACAGACACATTTGTGATGTGGCTGACAGAACGCGGCCCGTTGCGTCGGGAGCACTTTGAGTCTGGAGCTGTAACCATATTCTATTTGTGTGCTAAGTGTGCAAATTAATGACATCAGTCACCCGGGACCCACGACATGTGGAGTCCGACAGCGAATACGGTGCAGACGGGGGGGGGGGGACCTTCAACGCATCAGCTTTTCATAGTTTGTCATATTTAAAAAATGTGTTGCACGCCTCTTCCGTCCTCTCGTTCCATTCCTGTCTCCCAAAACTATCACTCAGCTCCTGCAGCTTTCTTTCGCCACTCGTTATTATCCATCTCTGGGTCTTTTATCTCTGTCACCCTCCCTGCATCGCACAATTCTTATCTCATTGTTTGTTTGCTATATCTCTTTTCCCACCTCTTACTGACTCGGTCGGGACGAGCAGCGTGAGCAGGAAGGTCTAATTAACATATGGAGATTGGGAGAATACTGATGAGAAGCCCGTAGGATTGAATGTGTGGCTCGCTTGTGCACAAGTGTGTCACAGCTGACCAACAAGGCCGACGCTGCCGCCCGTCTGCAGGGAGGCATCTGGTCCTCCATCTGACAACAAGAGGGAAGATAGCTGTGTGTGTACCCATACTGTATGTGATTAGGTGTTAAAGTTGCCTCTCAGTGGGTATAGAATGTTTGCCCTTCCAGCTGATTGAAAGCATCCTTGTGTACATAACACAAACTTACACGGTTTTCTTTTTTGTGCCAAATTGTGATGCATGGAGCTGCATACATTCACTGATTAACTCTGCATACGCTTAGGGTGTGTTTGTGTATACGTGTGTGTGTGTTTGTGTGTGATGGTGTGTGTGTGTGTGTGTGTGTGTGTGTGTGTGTGTGTGTATATGTGTGTGTGTGCATGTGTTCCCACGGTGTGTGGTAGAAGATGCACTGGTTGGGATGGTTGGGTTCTTCACCTGGATCAATCAAGTAACTAACAGTCAGAGGGTCCAGAAAGCGGAAAGCAGGAGGGAGCCATTTATGTCCTCATTACCAGTCGGGAACACAGAGATGAAATTAACATTGTTTTCATTATTAATTGTTATGTTGCCAGAATTAACAAATATCGAGTTTATAATGAGCACTTTAAAAATACATTTAAAAAAATCTTAATTAACTGACGTGCAAATAAATGTGTCATTAATTACATAATTACTTTGTTTACGATTTAACACTTGCTTTAATAATCATGTAAAAAAATGATAAAAACTACTAGCGTGTGTTTCTCCGTGTGTGTGTGTGCAGGTGTGCTCTGGAACCTTTCGTCATGTGATGCTCTGAAGATGCCGATCATCCAGGACGCCCTGGCCGTTCTCACCAACAGCGTCATCATACCGCACTCCAGCTGGGACTCCTCCCCCAATCACCTCGACGACCGCAAGCTCCACCTGCATACCTCACAGGTGCTGCGCAATGCTACAGGGTGTCTCAGGTAAAGGCAGCACGCACACACACACACATATATGCCCTCAAGCCAAGGGCTTGTTGTTGTTTTCTTGTGTTTCTTGATGTTGTTGATTCGCTGGAATGAGTCAACCGCATTGTGTGCGTGAGAGTGAGTGTTGTCTCTTTTGAATGTTCACTGCTGTGTGATTACAGATGCATATATTCACAAACTATGAACACAGCGCACAGTTGTTTCTCTCTTTCCCTCTCTCTCATTTACATCTTTCCCCCCTAACTTGTGCTGGTAACCATAGCAACTCCTCCAAGTGTATATTCTTTGTGTGTCAAGACTTTCGTCGTTCAATGGACGACTTGGACGGTTTTGTTGATCACTGCGGTTTCGTGGTTCACTCAAATTTGATTTATCAGCCGGTACAGTGGACGTACAACAGTACCAGCATGTCTGTCTCTTACATTACCACAAGTGCTCATGTTACTTCAGCTACACCGGATGAACCTGGGAAGCTTCACTCAGTACACTCAGTTATAGTTATAAACTAATCCTGGCATTTTAAAAATCCCTTGTATTTAACAGTGTAAGGGTCTATAAACAAATTATTATCCGTCAATTCATTTTCAAGTTCATCTTGTACCAGAATTAGCTCTTTAATGAGTATTTATTAATAATAATAATTTATAAAAATCAAAAATTCATTCATTAACAGGACACTTCAGTCATCTTTTGTTGGCTCCAGATATCACATGAAAACTAATATAATTGTGGACAACTAGAGTCTATTTGTTAAAATGATGGTGCTGACATTCAGCCTTTGTAAATAACCGTACAAAATAACAGTTTTTTATTCGGGGTGTGTATATTTCACTTGTGAGTCCTAAGCACAAAAAAATAGCCGTGTTTCTTGATCCTACACAGCGACCTCTGTTCATCTATGCACACACACTCTGACACCTGCTCCACAGAGCGCTGAAACGATTCCAAAGGAAAATCCATGTCCACTTGGCCGTCTTTCTTACAGCTGTGCACTCAATCAACCGCCAGCAGCCTCTGGATTAAACCTGAGTCCACTCGCTCTGCAATGCTCATCTCCAGCTATTGAATGTCTCCCAAAAGCATTTCAAGCCAATCTGAAAATATTACAAACAGTTTTTTTTGCTTTTCAATTCATATAATTGTGTGTTAGTTGCAACATTCCAAAGGCTTTGAGTTGCTCTGATAATTGTTCCATTTGTGCTTCAAAATGAGAACCAGCCTGCATACTTGTGGTCTTCCCAAACATTCAAACATTTGTGTGACTATGAATATTTTGCATTTTTGGTTGAAATATGTTGTCGGTGCTCAGCCATAAATAAACATCTCCTGCCAGTCAGTGGGAACAGGCCATACAACACCAGCACTTATTAACCGTTATCAATTATTATTCATTACAATTGCTTTTCTCTGTTTTTGCTGCACTACTTTTCTGCCACATAGGACCTAACGCTTTGGGGAGTCCAGCACTTTGATATCTATTCTACATTTTAGCCACAGTGTCAGGTGTATTGCATGGATGTCGTTGAATAGGCATTTGAGGTAAAAATCCAGTTGAAATATCATTTCTAAAGCTTTTGTAGTCACAATTGTAATGGTTTAGCACAGGAACTGTCATGTTCCCTGACTCGATGACTCAATATCCCAAACCCCTGTACATCGAAATTCCTTCCACTAATAGCTTTGCATTTGCGATAGATATTTAGTTGGAAAAATTGAGAACATTTTAATATTGCTGTATTTTTGCTGACATAACTCACAACAATTTTGCATTCATGTATTTGCATTTGGGTGCTGTTAAACAATATTGTACTGTATTATATTTTCCACCTGTGAATAGGACAACAGAAAGAAAAGGTGGTCAAATAGGTCATTATCATAATATTAAGTATAATATTAAGAACGTCTTTGTCAGAGACAACCAGAGAAAAATCTGGGTGTATTGTAACACTGTACAAAGTATAGGTGATTGTGATTATGAACTCATTCATCTGTTTAATATTAATGAAATAAATTTCCTTTAGCGGTTGGAAGATGCAGCACTTGTGCATCAGCGGTAATGAGTTTAGTATATTCACGCTTCATTTTGTAAATTAGAAAGAAATAAAGAAATCCAATTTTCTTCTGAATTGTTTGTTTCAGATTAAATGAACCGAAACGAATCTTCATTACATGTCACAAATATTTAGTAATACCTTTTACACTGACTCAGTGTTCGTCATGACACCAGAAAAGAGGAGGCGGATCTGAAGGTTTAGATGACATGAAAATACATTTTTTCCATAAAGACTCTCGCGACATCCTGCGATCTATTGATGCGGACGGGAAACATTTTGCTTTTGAGATTTTTGAATTTTCAATTCTTTGAATATTAAAACTTCTTCTTCCCCCACTGCACTGTGGTGGCGACAGACATCTCATATATCTAAAAAGTTTTGAAAAAATCCCTCACCATCTGCGTGGCTTGATACCAGCAGGGGCTCATGGGGATGTGTTTTAATGATCGCAGTGAAAACGTTATTTAAAAGTAATGTGTTTAATGTTGTGCACAAGGAGACTCGCACTAAGTGCTTCCTCGATTTCGCCAAGATTTGTTCAGCATGGAACTCACACCCTCTGAGTGTGTCACGTTCGGTCACGGTAACGGGCGGCAAAGATCCACGCGCAGAGGGAGGTCACAAAATAAGGGTTTTAATGTTCAACAGAAACAGCGAGCCGAGCTCGACGGCAAAACATAGAACAAAAATGTATTCTCTAGGAGACCAGCTAGGCAAAAGGAAAAACGAAAGGTAATCCTCGGGACAGGGGAATCTCCTCCTTGGAGAACGAAGCTCGACAGGAGCCCGCAGGATGCAGCTCCTGAGGCACGACGCTGGAGGCCGGACGAGCAAGACTTGGCTGTGCGCAAAGAGAGAAGGTCTTGAGGCTGCTGGACAGGGGAAGGGTTGACTCACAAGAATAATCCGACAAGACACAAAGGGAACACATGCAAGATATAGACAGGGTGATTAGACATGACGAGAAACAGGTGTAACAGCAAACGGCGCGGCCACTGATTGAAATGAGCGGCAGGTGGATGGGAAGGCTATGTGAGAAGTGGGTGTGTGTGCAGAGGTGAGACTAATGGGCAAATGAGTGTGTCAGTGAATGTATATGGCAGAGGGGAAGAGAGAGAGAGAGAGACCCGGATCCTGACAGTACCCCTCTCTCAACGAGCGCCCCCAGGCGCTTCCGAGGAAGGAGTCTGGCGAGACCGGTAGAAGTCCTCAATGAGCGAGCGGTCCAGGACGTCCCGGGCCGGAATCCACTGCCGCTCCTCAGGACCGTACCCCTCCCAATCCACCAAGAACTGGCGGCCCCGCCCTCGGGGACGAACATCCAGAAGTTTGCGAACCCTATAAATAGAGTCCACCTCGTCAATGGGTGGGGGGGGGGGAGCGGGGCGGGTGGGTGCACGAATGACAGGTTTGAGACACGAAACGTGAAATACTGGGTGTATCCGACGTAACGAACCGAGCAGCTTTAATTTGACGGTTACCGGGTTAAAAACCTTAACAATGGAAAAAGGACCGACAAAGCGAGACATGAGTTTCCGAGAGCCTTCGCGTGTGGGCAGATTGCGAGTGGAGAGCCACACCTTCTGCCCACAAACGTATCTGGGTGCCTTTACACGGCGGCGGTTGGCAGCCTTACAAGTGCGCGTTCTGGTGCGACATAAAGCGGATCTCACTCTCCTCCAAGTGCGCTTGCATCTCTGAATAAAAGCTTGAACAGAGGGGACAGAAGTCTCAGACTCCTGTGACGAAAAGAGTGGAGGTTGATAGCCGAGGCAACTCTCAAAAGGAGACAGACCGGTTGCGGAGGAGGGTAAAGAATTATGGGCGAACTCGGCCCAGGAGATCTGATCTACCCAGGACGCCGGGGTCTGAGAGATCAAACTGCGTAACATGCGCCCGAGAATCTGGTTGGTCCGCTCGGCTTGCCCATTGGTCTGCGGGTGGAATCCGGACGACAGACTGGGGGAAGCCCCAATCAGTCGACAGAACTCCCTCCAAAACAGTGAGGCAAATTGGGGACCTCTGTCAGACACAATGTCCGAGGGAAGGCCGTGAATCTTAAACACATGATCGACCATAAGCTGCGCGGTCTCACGGGCGGACGGTAATTTGGGAAGTGGAATAAAATGGGCCGCCTTAGAAAAACGATCGACAACCGTCAGGATAACTGTGTTGCCGGCGGATGGAGGGAGACCGGTAACGAAGTCTAACGCGATGTGTGACCACGGGCGCGATGGGATGGGAAGGGGTCTGAGGAGACCCGCCGGCGGAGCGTTGCTTGATTTAGTTTGCGCGCAGACAGGGCAAGAGGCAACGAAACTACGTATGTCACGCTCTCTGGTGGGCCACCAGAATCTTTGACGGATAGCGGCTAAAGTGCCCTTAACGCCGGGGTGCGCGAATAGTTTAGAGGCATGGCCCCACTCGAGTACGGACCTTCGCGCGCTCTCGGGAACGAACAACCTCCCCTCGGGGGCAGTAGGAGGTCTGATGGCGTGCGCAAGGGCCCTCTTAACGGTCTGTTCAACTCCCCAGACCACCGCTCCGACCACACAGTGTTGGGGAACAATTCCCTCCTGGATTGAGGCATCCTCCGTGGAGCCGAACTGACGGGAGAGGGCATCAGGCTTAACATTCTTTGAACCTGGTCTAAACGAGATGGAGAAGTCAAAGCGGCCAAAAAATAAAGCCCAGCGGGCCTGCCGTGCATTCAGTCTTTTAGCGGAGCGAATGTATTCGAGGTTCCGGTGGTCGGTCCAAACAATGAATGGCACGCTGGCCCCCTCTAGCCAATGCCGCCACTCCCCCAGAGCCAACCGGATAGCCAGGAGCTCCCGGTTGCCGACGTCATAGTTTCGCTCCGCGGGTGAGAGCCGGTGCGAAAAAAAGGCGCACGGGTGAATCTTATCGTCACGGGAGGAGCGTTGCGACAAAATAGCC